GTGGGGTTCTGTTATTATTACATATGTTACATACTTGATTATTTCGTATTAAAGAAAGAACGTGAAAACTGTGATGGAAATTAGGTCGGGGAACCCCATTGCCCATTAATATGTTCCAATATAAGTGTTACGCCCTAGCAGCGCGTGTCAGTGTAGAACGCGCCCGGAGAACGCGAGTCACTGTTTGTTTGAAATTAAAATAATCAGACGTCTAATCTGAGTCACTGTCCGAATAAATAACTCATTGACGTTTAGTTGGGACCACGGCAGAACCAGAACTTGAACTGGACGACTATGATACACAGTTTATGTTGAAGTTAAAATGCATGACTATATATTGCATGGGACCCATGTTGTATGTATTATTATGATTACACCTGTCCTACTCTTGTGAAATTGATTAGCAAAGTTTAATCATTTAATGTTTTCTATTTTGTGATTCCTGCTGCCCATAATATTCAAAGTCAAACTTTTACACAACCTATCTAAAATCTGGGTCTTCCTAAATTTCATTCTAAAATTTGAATTATTATTAAATATCTGCTATTTTTCAAACATCCTGTAATTTTATATGTAATATTGTTGATCGTCAGTAATTGTATCATGTAATTATTTATATTATTCTATATAATGATGAATCATTACATTTTTTCTGTGTAAATAAATTGGATTACAAGCAATGAAATAAGACTGTATTTTCTCTAATAGAAATGACTTTAAGTAAAAATTGCATTTCTATATGCATTTCTATATCCAAATACGACTCATTTTACTCACAAATGGTCATTTACATATTAAGTATATATGCTATTAAAGAAAATGCAGTATAATGTAATTTTGGTTCCAAATACTAAATTGCATGGTTTGTAAATTATGTAAGCTAATAGTCTGAGGTGTTTCTGTGTTCAAAATAAGTTGTATTTCAAAGATTCTGCAAACACAAAGTGCAAGTTTTTGTTTATATTGGAGATGTGCTTCTAATAGAATAAATACAGTATACCTTCTTTTCTGAAGTGTTATTTTATAATGCAATACACTGTACTATTTTTCAACCAATTTGTTTGCTTAATAACAGCCCATTGTCATAATAGGTATTAAATTGAAATGTGGATGAAACGTCTGTTACATTTAGTACATAGAAAGCAACTTGGGTCTATGTTGGTGATTTGGATCCCCTGACCCTACAGCACTTATGTAGGGTTGTTAATTTTGATCTGAACCGATCCAAAACCGATCTCCCAAGTGAATGCAGATCAGCAGGAAAAAAAAATGTGATGATATTACAAAGTAAAAGTTATGTGAGTTTTTAAATCTTTATTGAGATTGTTATAATCTTGTGAGTGTATTCAGTCAACATGAAGGAGACCTGTAAGAAATGAATAAATATTAATTAATTTCAGTACTATGTAATTTATTGTGAAGCGGTCAGAAAAATCTGGGAAGGGTGGGCAGGGGATGTCAAAGTTTATATCTTGGAGATACAGAAATATGTGGAAGCACATGTTTTTGCAAATGACATTTTTAATAATTTGATATAGAAAATATCTTTGGTTTTTGTGTGCTTTATTTGAGATGCTTTTCTAATGGAGGAACTGGGAAAAATAGAATATGTGGGGGGGGGGGGGCTGCACAAATATTGGTGTACATGGTGTACATCATTCCATTTGATAATTGGTGATACTTGTACATTAATTGGTTCATCCCATGATTATGACTACCTAGTAAATCAGATTAGTATGTGTGTTACAACTGGACACTTCTACTAGTAGATCATTTTTAGTAACCTTGATTTGAAAGAACCCTCAAAAGTAGAATTGATAAAGTTAGTAGCTATTAAATATTTAGTTTAGTTCATTGGGGGGGGGGGCTAGCTGGATGAGGAACTGTGATAACTGTGTTGAGGCCACTGGTCCCTTACTCTTACCACATTGCCCTATTCCCCATTGATTTTCGCATGTTCACCCAGCAGTGCTGTATACTAGTATACATAATGTGTTCATGACTAAAAAGTGGGAATTATAGCAACTGGAAATCAGTTCAATTTAATATTTTGCTCTGAAAAAGAATAATTAAATGAACTAACCTAGCGTGATCTCTTGCTATGATGCTCAGCTTGCTGCAATGTAGATACAAATATTTTGAAAGTAATACTGCAGTGTACCATCTCAGTGTAGAGAACTGTGTGTGTGTGAGACCTGAACAGTAGATAGGATCTAAGTAGTGGATGTGGCCCAGTAAAGGAAAGTGGCTTTGGATGTGACCGAAGTAGTGGAAAGGGACCTAAATAGTAGGTGTGGCCCATGTAGTGGAAATGGGCCCAAGTTGGGGGTGTGGCCCATGTAGTGGAAAGGGGCCTAAATAGTGGGTGTGGCCCATGTAGTGGAAAGGGTCTAAGTAGTGGTTGTGGCCCAAGTACGTGTAGTGGGTGTGACCCATGTAGTGGAAAGGGTCTGAGTAGTGGTTGTGGCCCAAGTACGTGTAGTGGGTGTGGCCCATGTAGTGGAAAAAGGCCCAAGTAGTGGATGTAGCCCATGTAGTGGAAAGAGGCCTAAGTAGTGGGTGTGGCCCATGTAGTGGAAAGGGGCCTAAATAGTGGGTGTGGCCCATGTAGTGGAAAGAGGCCTAAGTAGTGGGTGTGGCCCATGTAGTGGAAAGGGGCCTAAGTAGTGGGTGTGACCCAAGTAGTGGAAAGGGGCCTAAGTAGTGGGTGTGACCCAAGTAGTGGAAAGGGGCCTAAGTAGTGGGTGTGGCCCATGTA